GGAGGGCACCTGGTGAGGGCCATCTGAGGATGGGCTGGTCAGGGACAGGGCTCTGAGGGGGTGACCCAGCAGCTGAGACCTGGAGGCAAAGGAGCCGCCGATGTCAGGGAGGGTTTTGGAGAGGGAAGGGCTTTGCTGGCCATGACAAGGAGTCTAGGCTGAGAACTGGGAGGCCCTTGAGGGTGTTTAAAGCAAGGAATGATGTGATATGATTTATGCCCTGGGTTGTCCCCATGTCAGACAAGCCTCTCCACCTTTTTACCCAACTTAATGAGCCAGAGCAGAAATGGGCAAAGGCTGGCGGACCCACTTCATCCAGCCCGGGCTGGGCTGGTGTGACTCACAAGGTGTGTCGGCTCTTCTCCCACTCGGAGCCCCTCCCCACCTCTTTCCAGTAATAGGAACCGCCGGCTGGTGCGGGACACAAAGCTGGCCGGCGGGCAGCGAGGATGCAGGAGGCGGCGAGGGGAGGTGCGCGCTGACGTGCGCGGCGGGGGCAGCTGGGAAGACAGCTTTTCTGTCGTGAATGGCCTCTTGGGGTAGATCTTGCGGATGACGCGTCTTGTGTCATTAGAAAGCCTGGCTATAAACGAGGCTGCCCAGAAGCATGGGGTGTGTAATAATTAAGTAATAAAAGTCACCGCAGGGGTAAAGGAACCAGAAAACAAAGCAGCTCTGTTCATAGAAGCACTGCAGGCTGCTCTGCCAAAAGGCCTCTGTGCTCAAGTGGCATTTCAAAGCCACTGGGTCCCCATTCAAATGGAGACCCAGGTCAGCCTGGCCCCAAAGAGGTCCTCACACAGAGGGGGTGAACTATCCCAGGGGGCACAGACTGCGCAGCAGCGTCGGGGCTGGATGTTTAGGGTCCATTCTGGCTCTGTGTTTGTCTCTGGGACCACAGAATCAGCAGTCAGTGAGGAACAATAGGGACGCGAGGGGACTCCGGCTAAGTGATACGGGCTACTCAACACCGACCAGTTGTTGCCACGGAGGAATGCACCTGCACCGTCAGAGCTGAGACGCCTTCAAGACAATCTGGAAAGCTGGGTTTTTTAGTGTAAAATTTCCCAGTTGGTGGGTGTTGACAACAACTGCGAAGACTTTTATAGACTGCCATGCCAGCCAAATAAAACACAAAGCCAGAGGCTCCAGGTTTGCACCATCGGTTCGCTGTCTGTACCATCTTTGGGAGTCACCTCTCTCCTTGTTTCCTCCTTCCCTTGTCTGTGAAATAAGATCATTTGGGAAGATCAGAGGCTCTGAACATTTCTGGGGGCATTTGCACCTTTGAAAATGTGATAAAAGTTGTGGACCCTCTCCCTAGCACACTGTCTGTACGCTCCTGCTCAGAAATGATGGTCTGCGACTTCCCGAGACTTCAGGGGGTTAAGAGCTTCAGGGATGGATGACCTATGAGGTCTTAAGCCTCGAAGTGTGGGTCCCGGACACAGCACCTCTAAACATCCCAGACCCATCAAACCTGAACGTGCCTATAGCAAGATCCCCCAGGTATCCATGCTCACTTGACAGTTGGCAAAACACCTCTGGACGATGCCTTCAGCTGTGAAAGACCATGATTTCTGTTTCCAGGACCTTCTCTGGACAGCACTCATCTGCACAGCAGTTTCTCTGGGTGTTTCTCAGAGTGTGGGTTGAGGAACACGTGTGTACTCGTTTCCTGGGACAGCCGTAACCAATTACCACCAACCTGGTCGCTTCAAACAACAAATGTATTTTCTTGCATCTGGCAGTCCTGGAGACCGGAAGCTTGAAATCGAGCTGTGGGTGGGGCCATGCTCACTCCAAAAGTTCTAGTGGAGAATCTTTCCCTGATTCTTCCAACTTGTGGGGGCCCCGGGTGTCCCTTGGCTTTTCTCTGCCTCTGCCTTCACCCCACTTCCTTTACCGCTCTTCTGTGTATGTCTATGAAGACACTTGTCATTGGATTTAAAACCTCCCCTCAAAAGCATTTACATAACCAGGAATCCCATCTCGGGATCCTTAACTTGAACACATCTGCAAAAGCTCTTTTTCCAAATAAAGTCATATTCACAGGTTCCGGAAGTTAGGATGAAAATATTTGTGCGAGAGGGGGACCATTCAACCCATGACATTCTGATTCAGAACTACTTCCTATATTTGCTAAAAATGCTCTTTCTTGGGCCCCACTCCCAGATTTCCTGGATCAGAACCTCTGGGGACAGGGCCCAGGTGATTTTTATGCACTATCAAATCTGAGACCCTCTGACCCAGAGAAATGAGAAAGCAATCAGCTCACACTTGAGCTGAGTGATAGAGAAGGCCATGAAGACCATCTGTGACCCAAAGGAAGATTAGAAAGAAGCAAGCAGGGGTACGAATGAGCTTCAATCCCTAGGTTTTCTCCTTTTTCTCTTTTTATTTCTTATTATGAAAAATTTCAAACATGCACCAAAGTATAGCAAGTAGAGTAACGTGCTCCCATGATCAACCCGCGTCACATGGCTTAACCACAAGTAATGTATTCTGCCAATTCTGTTTCATTCTTGTACTTTGTATTATTTTGTTTTACTGTGCTTAATTTTTTTTTTGCTGGAGTATTTTTTTTAAAGCAAATTCTAAGCTACATATTATTTTACCCCCAAAACCTTCAGGATGTATCACTCACATTAAAACTTAAAACAAATAACCACAATACCATTATCACATACAACACGACTAGCGATATTTCCTCATGGCTTCTAAAACTCAGTGTTCACCTTTCCCTGGTTGCCTAAAAACTACCTTTTCCCCATTGGTTTGTTTGAATCAGAATGTGAACAAGGTCCACACAGTGCCTTTAGTTGATGCCTTTCTTAAGTCACTTTTAATCTATATCACTTCCTCATCTTTTTTTTTCAATGTCCTTTGCTTTTTCAAGTGACTGAGTCATTTGTCTTGTAGAATGTCCTACACACCAGACTTGGCAGAGGGCATCCTCATGGTGGTGTTTGGCATGTTCCTCTGTCCCCTGCAATTCCTATAAATTGCAGTAGCTGGGCTGAGAGCTGTGTGTCCAATATGGCACTCTAGTCACCTGTGGCTTTTGAGCACTTGACCCACAGCATGGCGCCACTGAGGAGCCAAATATTTCATTTTATTTAATTTTAATGAACTTAAATTCAAAATGTAAAACAACATTTTCAATACCCCATGACTATCTTTAAGTGGATAACATGCTGACATGATAAGATTTCAGGTATATTAGGGTAATAAAATATATTAGTAGGGAGAGGGTTTAACTCAGTGGTAAAGCGTGTGCTTAGCATGCCCAGGATCCTGGGTTCAATCCCCAATACCTCCATTTAAAAGATAGTAAATAAATAGACCTAACTACTCCCCCCAAAACAGAATTTAAGAAATTTTTTTTACTGAAGTACAGTCAGTTACAATGTGTCAATTTCTGGTGTGCAGCACAGTGTCTCAGTCATGCAGATACATGCCTATATTCATTTTTTATTCTTTTTCAGTAAAGGTTATTATAAGACATTGAATATATCTCCCTGTGCTACACAGAAGAAACTTATTTTTTAATCTATTTTTATATATAGTGGTTATCATTCACAAATCTCAAACTCCCAAATCTATCCCTTGCCACCCCCTTCCCTCCCCCACCCCCATCCCTGGGTAACCATAAGATTGTTCACTATGTCTGCAAGTCTGTTTCTGTTTTGGAGATGAGTTCAATAGTGTCCTGAATTTAAGACATTTTAAAAAAAATAAAATAAATTAGTGAAATTAATGCCATCTGTTTATTTTTGGACCCTTTAACACGGCGACTGGAAGTATTTTGGTTACACGGTGGCCCACATAATATTTCTGTTGGACAATGCTGGTCTAGACGTCTGATTAGCTTCAGTTCACTTTGGGTGTTTTCCCCCCAAAAGTATCTGACGGGTGGTGCTGAGTACCTCCTATTGTATCACTTCTGGCACCATGTCTGTCACTTTCAGAGGCAGTAAGATGGGTCACTGGGGTAAATTCTATGTTATGGATATTTTACCCCAATAAAAATCGTGATCATTTGCTTCAGCTGCTACCCACCCCTGTGAGGTTCCCCATCAGCTTTCCACCTAATATTTAGCAGCCGTTGATTATTACCTGAATCCATGGTTTCATCACGAGTTGCAATGTAATGATTCTCTTCCCTTCAATTCTGCCCTTCATCCTGCATTTTATTAGCTTTGGTTCTTCCGTAAAGAAGTCCCCTCATCTCCCGTTAGGTTCCTCTGACACGGTCTCACGCAGCTCCGGGACCTTACCCTCTCATCTCCAGGATGGGGGTGATCATAGCACCCACTCTACAGTGCTGTGCAGGAGTGGGGCATACACAATGCTCTACACAGGAGACGCGCTTCTTGGCTGGAGATTCCTGTCAAGGAGAACCAGAGCTGATTGCTAAAAGTGGCAGAGACGGATTTTATCCAGCACTATTGCAAAGGGGAAAGCGACTTCACTATAGAGCTGCCCTCAGTTCTGAGCACAGCGTAAGTGGGGACTTACAGCCCAGGAGCAGAGTGGGTGGAAAGCTACTGAGAGGAGAGAGACCTCGAGGGTAGGGGGATTCTTGCTAAACTGACTTAACAGGATTATTGGCAAAGGCAGGCCAAGGTGACCAGTACCAAGGGTGGCAGACTGACCTAGCAGGGTCCTTTGGTACGAATGGCATCAGCAGCCAAAGACAGGTCTCGAGGCTGAGGTCTAATCAGACAGAGGGCTCCGGGGAGCCTGTCTACAGTCTGGTCAGGGAGAGGGTCTGCCTCCCCGTCAGGCCCAGCACTTGGTCTGGGAGCAGTGTTTGCTGAACGACTCACACACGGCACCTGTTTCTTCAACGGCTGCAGAAGGTGGGAAAGAGCCCCTCCCAGGCTTGGGAGGAGCACTTTGCCTTGTAGCCCCCACCATCAGGTGGGCAGCCTCTGGGGGAGAGGGGCCCTCTGGCCCTTCCCAGACCTCAAGCCTGTCTGACCTCCTCCCCACAGGCCCTCCACCCCGTTCTTTGATCTGCTGCAGCATCGGTACCAGCAGCTCTGGGTGCAGGAACAAAAGGCCACCCAGAAAGCCGTTAAACTGGAGAAAAAGCATAAGGTAAACGCAGCCCTCACTCCGCAGTGGATGGCCGTCGGGGCCGGAGGGAAGGGAGGTGCTGGCGGGGCTGTGCGTGTTTGTTGCTGGGGGTGGGACGGGGGAGCCAGGTTGCTTATTGCTTCGTTGGAAGGGTCTTGGTGCTGATCGGGTTCAACCCCGACTTAAGCCCCGAGAGTGGCAGACTCTGACCGGCATCACCCCATAAATCGGCCCTGTGAGCCCCGGCGGCAGAATGGGAACCCTGTCTGCCAGCTCCTGCCCAGAGACTCTCCCACCAAACCTCGTCATGACTCCACACACCTGGAAGTCAGATTGTAAACTCAACTCACCTGGCCTGGTCTATCTGTAAAGAAAATGCTGGGTGGGGAGGGTTTAGCTCAGTGGCAGAGGGTGAGCTTAGCACGCCCAAGGTCCTGGGTTCAATCCCCAGTACCTCCATTAAAAAATAAATAAATAAAAGTAGACCTAATTGCCTCCCCCTAAAAGAAAAGGAAAGAAAAGGTGGGTAAGGCAAAGTTAAAAGAGAACAACCCACTTCCGGGAGGGGACTGTCAAGAACACACTTTATCAAACGTTAGTGATATGTTTTGTTTCCAGTTCGTGAGTAAGCCCCACCCTAAACACTCCACGCCCATCAGACACATCATCTCAAGTGCACTGGACCAGCCTGCGAGGAGGGTGTTACCCGAGCTCCTAGACTGGCACAAGGGAAACTTGAACGGAGGACAGTACGACAGCCAAGCACTGCCCACTGCTAACAATATGAGTCTCGGTGAGGTTTTTACTGGGGAAAAAACCTTTAGCTCTTAATTTGCATTGCTGACCGCACTGAAGATGCTAAACATGGTACTCCCTTTAAAATGGATTCTGAAATTCGAACTTTTGGAGCACTCAGGCTGGCCTCTTCTCCAGGAGATCCAGACGGATCACAGCAAAATCACAGCCGCTTTATGTTCACGTGGCGTTACACAGACGTCGTCCGCAGCACGACTTCAGTGTCTGGTTGCTGCAACAATCGCACGAATGCCGTCCCTCCTCCACGTTCCACGCGGAGAACTGGACCCCGCGTGCAGCCCTCGTTGTGTTTTCTCCTCGGGAACGCCCCGTGAGGGCCACATCTCATCAGACCGTTCAGTTTATTTCACTTTCAGATGGTTGAACTGAGTCTCAGAGAGACTAAGTGACTGGCCAAGGTGTCACAGCCAGGCCGGGACCCAGGAGCGTCCCGCCCAGGAGCCCGGGCCTTCCCTGCTGGCGTGCTCCCACTCCCGCCCGTTACAGGGAAGCTCAGGATGCCACGACAGCGCTGGTGATGCTCCAGGACCAAGCCGGGGAGTGGAAGGGTTATCAGGGGTCCCGGCGCCTTGGGACCGGCCAGGAGAGGCTGCAGGACGGAAGGGCCCAGGACCCGGGACCGGCCAGGTGCCAATGCCCCTCCCGGCCGTTCACAACAGCTCATTAAAGAGCAGAGTGCTATAATAATATTTTAAAAGCAGCCTGTGACTAGTTTGTTTGTTAATGGCTCAAGAAAGAGTCATCTCACTATGGGAACGACCAGTTTCCGAGGAAGCATTGCCATTACACGCTGCTTTATAGCTCCAATCTAGAGCTCCGATCTATTTAGTTTTAACAGAGCCACTGGGGATTGAACCCAGGACCTTGTCCATGCTAAGCACCTGCTCTACCACTGAGCTAACCTACCCTCTGCCAGAGTCATGACTTTAATCAGCAGCTAACTCATGGCAACTCAGATTGTCGTGAGTCCCCGGAATCCCAAGCCTCCGAGGACACATATTCTGAGTCTAGAGATGCGTGGGGACTGGCTCAGCCCCACGGCTGTGACTTTGAATAATTCATTACTCTGTTGGGGTCTCAGTTACCTCACTGGGCAAAAATAGGGGGTCGGACGAAATGAGGGCCTGCCATGCTGGGCCCAGCACATACGAGGCACTCAGAAAACACTTGTTGAGCCAACCCGGGAGTTCTCTTCCTGTTCCAAGATTTTCTGTGGCTGCTACGTTGTCCATCAAACGGCTACAAACTCAGATCCACCAAATGCTGAGGGGCTGGTATACGGTTTATTGGGGTTGATAAGATGGTTGGTTTGCAAGGTCAAACTGCCACCATCCAAGGGGAAGCCTGTCTCTCCAGCAGGTAAGGCTGTCCTGGATTTGGGACGGTGATGCCAGCAGATGAAATTCTTGGTAACAACTTCCGTTTAGTGAACAGTCATCTTGGACCAGACACTCTGCTCAAAGCTAACTCAGCAAATCCTACAGTTACCTGTTTGTCAGGCATCAATGCCCCGTTTCCCACAGAGGGGACCGAGGCTGGAAAGGTGACGAGACTTGCCCGCGTCCCTCCAATTCTGAGGACCAAATCATTAACCCCTGGCTGGGCAGCCTCTCTGCTTTGGTCTGAAGATAAAGTGTCAGAGTGGTTCTCGAAAGCCGAGAGGACAGCTGATCCAAAGGGCTCGTAAGTTATCCATGGATGCAGTCAATAAAATTAATATAATTGATTAACAAAATGAATCAATAAAAGGGGTTTGATGGGGTGTCTCTACACCAAGGCTGTAGGTGTGAAGAGCCCCCTGTTCAGCTGTTAGCTCTCCTGGGGAGTTTTGAACTTTCACGAGGATCACGGCCATGGGGCTAAGCTCCAACTGTGCCTGGAATTCCTTGAGCACAGATTTAAAATGCAGAGTCAGGGCCCCCCCCACTCTGATGCTGACGTTGGAGACCTGGGACCCTGTGTGAGTCTGCTGGGGTGACCGTTACAAAGTACCACGGATCTGGTGGCTTAAACAACAGAAATCTGTTTTCTCACCATCGGAGGCTGGACGGCCACCATCAAGGTGCCAGCATGCTGGTTCCACTGGAGGCTTCTCTGCTTGGCCTGTAGACGGCCACCTTCCTCCCGTGTCCCCACGTGGCCTTTTCTCTGTGCACGTCCCTGGTGACGCTTCCTCCTCTTAAAAGGACACCTGTCCCCACTGGACTACAGCCCCACCCCCTGACCTCACTGAACCTT